CCCCCCCCCCCCCCCCCCCCAGAGTAGATACCTTCAAACCACCTCTATCACTTAGAGTACCTCAAAATTCTATGCAGTATAAAGTAGGGCTGTTATAGTGATTACTACTATGGTTCGGGCCAGTATGCCCTGCATTTAGGAGGGACAAGGAGCGGGAAGGTGGGGAGGACGCCACTGCATGCTGAAGGCTGGATTCTTTAACACCGGCGGCTTAGTGTACGGCTGAAATTGTCGAGCCAAAGTTATGACGAGTTCCTAAACCCTCAACGGAAAATACCTTAGTTTCATCCGTTCCTAAACTATCAACCCACAAAAGACCCTAGTTTCAAGTTTCAAATAAGTGGGACTTCTGCACCGTCACAAGGCTCAGGAAATAAGGGTTGAGGGTAAGCTTTAGGTAGATGTAAGTACTGTTACAACTCTACCACTCGGGGTTTGGGGTTTAGTATAGATAATAAGTACTGTTACAAGTCTACAACTCGGGGTACCCCCAAAGAGGGTTTAGGGTTGAGGGTATTTAGAAGCCATATTTTCAAGCTATTGGCGAAGTCCGCTGATGCACGTAAGTGCAAACCCACGACGGGGCTTGAGCGCTGGGGGTTTTGAGACTTTGGGTTAGCATTCGATTGATCCTCCACACTGGTAGAAGGCTATTACTTCCGGGTGTAGGAGTGATTTTGGGCTACGGTTTCAGCCATTGGCTTTGCACCCACCCATGCCTAAGAGCTGAACCGAAAGCGGACTTGCTGAAAATTATCCGGCTTTGATGGAATGTCTCCACGCATTCGTCTGTAATAACCTTCAGAATCATAAACAATGACATTTTGGTGGCTATGAAGAGAGAATTAGACTGATGGCGACAATGGCGATGATGTTGCTGATACTGGCAACAGCGCCGGTCATGAATACGAAAACCACGGTAGTGATGTTATTCACAGTGGAGATGGTGATAGAACCAACGACAATGGCAAGAAAAGCAATAAAGAAGGTAACCAGCATCATCATGGTCGTCGTCCCCATCACCATCATCGTCATCATCATTATCGACCGACTTTGGGCAAATCCAATGCGAACACTCGGCATAAGAGCAAAACTAGTGATGGCACAAGTATACGATGAGACGTCCTCCTGCCACGACTACGACGACGACGACGACGACGACGACTACTACTACTACAGCAGCCACTGCCAGTACTACTAAGGCGACGACGACGACGACGACGACCACGACTACAAGTGCCTAGTAAGAACAACACCAGTATCCTAATAGAAAGCAACAGTAACAGCAATGAAGCAAGCGACTAGTGGTAAGTGTAAAGATTACAACGAACACTAAACAATGTGGTGGAACACAGCACTACTACGAATAATAGAACTGACAAGAACCACCATAAAGGCAATCATAATCATACTTTTACTCACTATCATAATCCTAATCGTAATCAGGACCCTTCATAGGAATACTTGTAATCCAACTAACCATAACAGTCACACAAACAATAACAGACATCATAATGTCCATACTGGTAATGATTTAGCAACGATAAGAGTGATTTAGAAGTAATGGCAAACATACTGCTTTGTGCTACTTTCGTTACATTTGGCAGCACTAGAAAGGAAGACTCGCACCAGACCAATGATCATAACAAGCAGTTGTTACTAACTGCTACTAACTATAAGAGTACTAGATAACACTAGTAAGACATAATGATATATAGATATATATATATATAGATATAGATATATATATATATATAACTCACAATTATTAGCAACAGCAGTAGGAGCGCCTTGGGAGATAGGCACCGGATCACCGTCCAAGCCGAGGTCCCGGAGGATCACGGGATCAACGGGCTGAGCTAGGACCTCCCGGGCTCTTGTAAGGGTTTTTTTCTTCACGGCTCCTTTAAGGATTCCTAGAAGCTATCCAGGAACGCTAGGGGTTTGGGATTGTTGGGGCTCGTTGTCTAAGACCTGGGAAGTATAGGGCTTGAGATGTAGGGTGCGCTTAGGATTTAGGATTTCGGGTTGCTGGACGGTTCAGGGCTTCCGGGTTTAGTTTAGGTCGGCTGGTGGGTGGGTCGGGTTTATACTTCATGGAGTTTAGTCAAGCAGGGGTAGGGCTTTAAGGCTTTTAGGGTTTAGGGTTTCATCTAAAGGTCGGGTTGCGCCTACAAGCTTTAGACGAGCAGCCCTTAAGGCGAACTCGAACAACCTGGCCAGTGCCAAATCGCACCAGAAGTAGGGAACCGACTGGCCCATGAAATCAGTCTGGAAAACTGATAGCTCATGAAACTCAAAATTCCCTGCATGCCCTCCGCGAGCACAAAACAATGTGGAGGAATCATTCATCTCACTCGGGACAGCATTCCCTTGACGACAAGACTCAGCACCAAGGATCATGATAGAACTAACCTGAACCTTACACCCCAAACTGCAAACGCTAAGCCCTAAACCTTGATCATGACAGAGAGCCACTTACATTTCAGACATTAAAACCCTAAATCCCCACAAACCCTAATCAACATAGAGAGCCAAGGCGCACTGAGTTTCATGCTCTCAACAAACCTCCTCCTTCTCTCGGTCGTTTCTCCTGGCTGCAAGCAGGAGGCCGAAAATTCGGGTGCCTACGGCTTACAGTAAGTGTAGGGCTTAGGGTTAGGAAGCTGGGACATCATTTAGGGTTTAGGGTTTGGGGTTTTGGGTTCATTATCCTCATGCATAGAAGATCCCGGCACTCATCATCCTTAATCTATGTTCCATCATTCTGGGGTTCTCTAGAGAGCTCGGGGCCCGGGATTTAAAGACTTGCTTGGGGCGTGGACACCAGGGCCACCGCAGACTACGTGCCCGGCATCCTAGAGGAACTATAGGTTAGCCTCTGGGATCACATAGGGATTGTAGCATCCCAAGAAGGTTTAAGGTTACCTACTCTACAACACAGACAGGGTGCCTCGCTTTAACCTGGGGCCTAAACCCTACATAAACCCTAAACTCACAGCGTAAAAGCAGGATTCTCAGGCCCTGTGGAGCGGCTGTTCAGTTGCGAGGTGTGGAAACCTCCCGGGTTTAGGACGGCTTAAGAGTCCAGTGCCGAGCAACTTAGTCTGAGTTCGGTATGTGAAGCCTTAAATGCGGCGGTCCATGTAGACTTTTAAACTCAGCCGAAAACCCCTCAGCACCCTACACCCCAAATCCGTACACCCTGACTGCTGAGAGCCCTCAAACCCTCACTCCTAACCCCAGATCCTATAATGCCACGACTCCACACCGTGGCACCCTGAACCCAAAACCCCAAACACTCCAGCCGACCAGCACCCCTCAGCTCACCCCTATTCGAGCCGAAGAACCCTTAGGGTTTAGGGTTTAGGCTTTAGGGTTTAGGGTTTGGGGTACCCCGGAATCCCAAAGCCCCGAGATGAAACAGCCGAGCCACGTTCTTCGAGAGCGGCGGCTGAAGGGTGGGAGGTTAGCAGCTGCCGACGCAGCGCGTCCTTGGCTTGGGAGATGAAAGCTGTGGGATTCAGGGTCATTTCGGCCTTTGGGTTTAAGGCTTTGGGACTTTGGGTTTTGGGTCTGGGGTTTGGGTTTAGGGCTGTCGGGGTTTAGCTTTTTTTTTGTTGAGGGTTTTGGTTTTAGGCATCTTTGTTTCGGCGAGGCGAAGACGATGTCTTCTAGGAGCTTACGTCGGCATCAGAATTCCATGTCGGGGTTTAGGGGTTAGGGTGGTTTAGGGTTTAGGGTTTATGATTAAACCCTGAATACCAATGCCCACAAATCCCCTATCAAAAGTCCTAGACTTTTCAGCATCAAGCCCAACATCCTGAAACACTAAAAGGCAACAGCCATAACTAACCTTACACCCCAAACCCTCACGGCCCTAACAGCCACATACCCCCTAACCAATCTCCGTAAACTCTGCTAAACTCCGAAACCCCTACCAGCCTCAGCATATCTGAACTCTTAGCATCACAATGCCTTTAAGCCCCAAGCAAGGCTTCAGTTCTTAAGCCATGTTAAATCTTAACCGACCCTCATGCCCCAAGACCCTAAACCAATAACCCCCTAGGCTCCTGTAAAATAGAGGCACAAAAATCCAGACCTTCCAAAGTCAGAGAACCCAATAGCCCTTAATTCAGGAACATACCTTGAATCATAATGCTAAGGCTAAGGCCCCTACAATTTAAGGTATATTTCTTAATTAAGGGCAATTGGGTTCCCTGGGCAGTCAATGTTTTAAGGAACATACCCTAAACCCTAAACGGAACATACCTTCCTAGGATCCCGATGTTTGGTTTCAGGTGCATTCCTTAACCAAGGGATCTTGGCAGGTCTGGGAGAGCCCTAAACCCTAAACTCTGAAACCCCAAAACCGCTACCGTAAACCCTAAACAGTGAAATCCTAAACCCTAAACAATGAAACCCCGAAACCCCCAAACCCTAGACAATAAAACCCTAAACCCTAAACAATACAATAACACCCTAAACCCTAAACTCTGAAACCCTAAAACCGCTACAGTGAACCCTAGACAGCAAAACCTTAAACCCTAAACAATGAAACCCCGAACGCCCCCCAAACCCTAAACCCTAAACAATACAATAACACCCTGAACCCTAAACTCTGAAACCACAAAACCGCTACAGTGAGGCCTAAACAGTGAAACCCCGAAGCCTCTAAACCCTAAACAATAAAGCCCTAAACCCTAAACAATAAAACCCTAAACCTTAAAACCCCGAATTCCCAAAAAGCCAACAACCCAAACCCTAAACAATCAAAACCTAAACCAAAACCCCTCAGACCATTAACCGAAGCCAATGAGAACCTAACCCGCTCAGAGGCCGAGACTTCGGAACGCCCCCAGACCCCTGAAAAAATTAAAAAGCCGAAAGGCCCCCCCCCCAAACAAAAACAAAAAAACAAACACGGTTCGAAAATAAACCCAGAAGCCACAATGCGAAGCGGCTTGGGGTTCAGGGTTTAGGGTTTTATAGTTTAGGGTTGGGGGTTTGGCCAGCCAAAGAAGACAGGCTTAGTTGAGATCTAATAACTAAGGCAATCCCTAAACCATAAACCCCAACCCCTAAACCCTAAACCCTCAACCCGGAGCCTCCAAAAGCCTAAAGTTCTGCGGCGCTTCAGGGTGCTCCCCCCGTTTCGGGCTTCAGGGGTACCCAAGACCTCAAACCCTATACAAACCCAACAACGTGAACCCTAACCCTCCTCACCTTAAACATCTCTAAGGCTTTGACAAAATTAAAAGGCCACCAAGCCAAAAGCCTACAAAAACTCAACGAAACGCCAACCCGAAACTCAAGGACCCCTAAAACAGATTCAAACCCAACGCCCCACAAAAAAGCTTCCGAACGTCGTTTCCATAAACCCTAAACCCTCTAAACCCTGACCCCTAAAACCCGAATACCTAAAACCCTTAACCCTCCAAACCCTAATACCTAAAACTCTAAACCCTCTAAACCCTCCAAATCCTAATACCTAAAACCCTAAACCCTCTAAACCCTCCAAACCCTAATACCTAAAACCCTAAACCCTCCAAACCCTCATACCCAAAACCCTAAACCCTCCAAACCCTCATACCCAAAACCCTAAACCCTCCAAACCCTCATACCCAAAACCCTCAACCCTCCAAACCCTCATACCCAAAACCCTAAACCCTCTAAACCCGAAGCCAATTTTATGGCAGAGCTCCAGTAGCTCCTTCTCCTGAGCGGAAGGGCCCAGATCCAGCGTTGGAGTGGGACCTCCCAGGAACCTCGACTGAGGGGTTTAGATTTTGGGTTTCGGAGTTCGGGCTAAGGGCTTCGAGTTTAGGGTTCAGGGCTTGGGGTTTAGGGTTTAGAGTCTTTGGGGTTTAGGATTTAGGGTTTAGGGTTTAGGACTTAGGCCTTGGGGTTTAGGGTTGAGGGCCGGGCGTGAGGTTTGGGGGGGGGGGTTTACGGTGTGAGGTTAAGGCCTTGGGGTTGTGTGTTTTCGGGCTTAAGACTGGGCCTTGGCATTGGGAGGTTCAGCTCTACAAGCTCTAAACTGAAATGTAAACCCTAAACCCTGAACCGCTAAACCCTAATAAGCCCTAACAAGCCTTAATAAGAGCAGACAAACCTCAACATACCACACAAAAAAAAACTACTAAGCCTTCACGAGCCCTAAGAAGCAGCCCCAAGAAGTCCTAACAAACCCTAAACAAACCTACTACAGTAATCCCTAACGGCTATGGAAGCCCGAGCCTTCTTTCATCCCCAGAGCAAAAGGGCTTCTCTGGCCTTTGGAAGGGTTCAGGGTTTAGGGCCTAGGGTTCAGGGTTTAGGGGTCTAGGGTTCAGGGTTTAGGGCCTAGGGTTCAGGGTGTAGGGGTCTAGCTTAGGGTTGAGGCTAGGGTTGAGGGGTCTAGGGCCGAGGGTTGAGGGGTGTAGGGCCTAGGGTTCAGGGGTCTAGGGCCTAGGTCAGGGCTAGGCCTCGGGTTTGGTTTTAGCCAGGGTTCAGGGTTGTTGAGGGCCTTGGGTTTAGGGTACACGGGTTGGGTTACTTACAGGCTCCGGGACTTGGCAAGGAGGATGAAAAGCAAATATCTATTTAAACTAACAAAGACACCAATAGCAGGGACAGGGTTCCAAGAGAGTAATGCGGGGGCTCATTCGGAATGGCCTCCGACATGCCAAGGGCTTCCGTTTTGTGAGCGATCGGCCTAAACCCTGTAAAACTGAACCCTCCAGAGCGTGGCGTCCGGAGCTCCGGCTTCCAGAGCCCACAACCACTAAGGGTTCCTCTCAAGGGTTCATATAGGGGGCACTATGAGGGTCTTGCATAGGCTAGGGCCTCAAAAATTAGAATAGGGGCCCTGGAGCATATTCTACCATATTTATAAGATGGAACCCTAAAGAACAGTTCTTGCAATTATTCAAGCTTCTGATTCGAAATCTGGCTTCTTTCGGGAAATTCTCTGAGGGCCTTCATATTCGGATCCCTATCACCCCTTCCAAACAAGGTTAGGTAAACTCGAAACCCCAAGCCCTAAACCCGAAACCCCAAGCCCTAAACTCGAAACCCCAAGCCCTAAACTCGAAGCCCCAAGCCCTAAACTCGAAACCCAAGCCCTGAACTCGAAACCCCAAGCCCTGAACTCGAAACCCTAAACCCTAAAGCCTAAACTCGAAACCCTAAGCCCTAAACCCTAAGCCGTCCGGAGCACGATCGAAGGGCCGGGTGGGTGACATCTGGGTCGAGCTGGAGAACTCCCACCAGATACCGTTCCTGCAATGGGGGTTTAGACTTTAGGCTTCAAGGGTTATTGAAAGGCTTCTCGGGCTTAGGGAGTTCTTGCCATGCTGTATAAGGGTCTTAGGATAGGCGTTGGTCTCTTCGGGTTTTTGGATTTCTCGGTGTAAATGAAGCCGTGAAGACATGTGTTGGGACCCCAGGGGTGGGCTTTTGGAGGCGAGGCTCTTGTCCCTGTGTCAGGGTGACTTTGGGAAGCCCAGACCTTCAGCTGCTTGTCCGTGGCCTTCTCTTGCCGCCTTCTTCGTCGAAGTTCCCATCTTCTTTCTCAAAGCTTCCATGGCAGGCCATGCTCCACGCCCTCGGGCAGCAGACGCAGTTGCATCTGACGGCAGAGTCGCCGTCCTCCCCCGTGCTTGGGGCATGCTTGGTCGTGAAGGCTCGAGATTGGCGAGGTTGCTGGCTTTGTCATCATCCAAGTAATGTAGGGCCCTTAATAATCAGAATAGGGTTTTGGGGTGAGTGCGGACTTGCGTCGGTCTTCTAAAGCGTCTGAACACCTGGTCTGTTGCCGGTGCACTGGAAACAGCGAGAATGCTTTTTCAGCATCCACATAAAACTTTTAAGCAGCCTCGGGAACACTCAAGTTCCGGTGCGCCTGAAGTGAATTAAGGTGGTCGTCTACGGGTCGGTTGCTTGCACCCTCGGTCCACGTCTTGCACTTTGGTTCCTTTGCTTCCCTTCCCCTCTGCTGCGCGGCCATCTCGAGAAGAAAGGCTAGGCCTCGTCAAGTGGCTGTCATCCGCTCTCTCATTGTGTAACCGTGTCAGAAAAATGGGATCAACGACTGGGCGCCGGGTGCCCACCGTGTCCATGGACATTGAAGTCCATCTGCATCCAGGTCGTCCTCAGCCTTGCGTTTCCCCGCCGCTGCCAAGGCAATCTGTGCAGCCTCTTCCCACGTCTTAGCGATCGGCTTCGTGTTGGCGATCGTCCCTGTAACTTCCAGCATCTCAGCTTTTGCAACCTTGTCAGCCTGACGCTTCCTCTGGCTCTTCAATCGACGCTTAGCAGCCCTTGCTGCGCGAAGATCTTGCTCCAGCTTGTCACGTGTGCCAGACATGGCACCCTCCTGAACACCGTTCGGCGCCAGGTTGCCAGTGGGCTCCTTCGGGTCCCTCGCATGCGATGCTGCAGCAGTGACTAGCGCAGTAGTCACTGCCGCAGCGATAGCAGCGATGGTCCTCCGTGGTGCACGCTCCCGGCACGCGGCTGAAATCGCTGCACGAAGCAGCGACTCCTGACCAGCCATCGCCCACCCCTATAGTCCAGAAACAAGGCTGTAAAGCCCGGGGGAACTATCTGGACCTGCGATCGCTCGGGCCTTAGAATAGGGTTTTGGGGTACATTATAGTATAATCATAATAATAAGGAACCCCCAAAATGGTATAGGTAATTATTTAGGCTCCTATGTTAACTACGATCCCGAATGACGGTGCTTGGAGGGGTAGGGATTTGGTTAGCAGCTCGTACAGTGCTCAGGGCTCCCGAAGCCTGGGGGGTGTGGGGTGTCCTCGTGTTTTTGTTGGGATATTGAAACCTTAGGTAGATGCAACTTCTTAGATGATAGCGGGAGGATCGCCTCCTCCTCTTCTGCAGGCTTTGACATATTCTCTGGCCTTCCGATCCCCAGCCTTTGAAACCCTATACCCTGAACCCTCCACAGACATGACATAGGCGAATGAACAACAGACTAGTGCATGTAACATAGGACATCCCAAGGTTCCCAAAAGCTGAAACAAGTATAAACCCCTAAACCCTAAACCCCGAAAACTCCGAAGACCCTAAACCTTACACCGCTCCAAGCCCTCAAACCCCAAACCCTGCGCCCGAAACCCAATATGCCGAAATCCCAAAACCGTTGCCTCAGCACCTAGCGCTTCGGGTTTAGGGTTTAGGAAGTTTAGGAAGTTTAGGGTTTAGGGTTTAGGGAGCTGCACCCCGGGTGCACACCGGGTTTGGAACAGGCCGAGATGCTAATCCTTCCTGTCTCTGTGCCACGAAGGCTGGATCACTGTTGCCAAAGAAGCCTTGATGGACAAAGGGCGCGCAGAGCCCGGTTTAGGGTGTATAGAGGTGGGGTTCAGAGGTTCGGACTTCTGTCAGAAAGTCAAGGGCCGGGGATTGGGGGCCGGGGTTGAGGGCTTAGGGCTTAATCGGGGGTTTTGAAGGGGCAATTATAGCACATTCCTAAAAAGGTATTAGAGGATTATGCCCATCAACAAGTATCACCCAGTTGGAGAAGAGTGGTGTGCCAAAGAACCCTCGTCGAACTGTCTAAAGGGCCCTGAGAGACGCAGTCTACAATCTGCTGGCACCATATAACATACCAGCCTAACTAGTCATTAAACTAATACTATTCTACTCTAGAGTTTCCGAATGATTGCTATACTGCAAGGTAACCCCCCAAGCCCTATGCTAGTTATGAAGGTCCCTATCTTCGAAACAAGAGAACCGAGCATCACCTCATATGGTGTGGGACTTTTAGGACTAGCATCTTTCGGACTAGTATTTTTATAATGCTCAAGCCCTAGTAAGCCCCGATAGAACCCTCCTAAACCCACAGACTCTAACCCCCTAAATTTTAAGGCCGCAAACCCCAAACCTCCAAACCTCAAGCTCTGTAGGGTTTAGGGCTTGAACCCTGGGGTCTGGCTAGGGTTGAAGGCTTAGAATTTCGGGTTAAAGGTTTCGGGCTCAAGGTCTGTACAAGGTTTAGGGTTTAGAGTTTTTTGGTTTGGGGCTTACAGGGTCTAAGGCCTTAGGGTTTTGGGGGCGTAGGGTTTGGTTTAGGGGCTTGCGTTTGAGGGTTTAGCGTTTGGGGTTCTAGAAAAGATCTATCATGATTGTACAAGGGCTTTAACGGCTTGATACGGGTTTTAAAAGGATCGTTTTCAGGTTTTTGACAAGTAACTATAAGGGGCTCTATAATGCTTTTAAATGGGTTCTCTGACCGCAAGGAAGGGCTGAAATTAGTCAAACCCTACACCAAACCGTGTGGGGCTTCTGGGGTTTAGGAATCTCTTCCCTTTCTTTCCGCAGACGAGGGGACATTTAGGGCTGAGGATTTCGGGTTACTAGGGTTTAGGGTTACTAGGGTTCAGGGTTCAGGATTTACGAGGGGGTATGTTCGACTTGTCGGTGACCGGGTTTAGGCTTGGGGCTAGGTGAGACCTCCAACAATGAAATCCGAAAAAATCGAATTTTAAGTTGAGCCAAGAGGACGCTTCCCTGGGAAGGGCGGCAGAATCTCGCCGTGCTTCAACTTCCTGAACTTTATTCTAGAGGGTTTCGGATTTAGGGCTTAGGGTTTCAGAGTTTAGGGTCTAGGGGATTAGGATATGGGGCATTGGAGGTAGGGGTTAGATATGTGCCGCAGCCACAGCAGGGGTATAGTTAGGCTAACCTACCATCCTTCCAGTACTGACTGGCATGATAGACCGAAGCATGCCCCTAATTGCAAGGACGATGGCAGTAGCAGTCGTCGCGATCTCCTCGCAGCCGGAGGAACGGTAGCGGTAGCAGTCGTCGTCGTCGTCGTCGTCGTCATCGTTGTCCTCGTGCGGTCGTTGTAGTGGTGGTGTAGTGGTGGTGGGTAGTGGTGGTGGTAGTGGTGGTAGTGGTAGTGGTAGTGGTAGTGGTAGTAGTAGTAGTAGTAGTAGTAGCAATTGTAATAATAATCGTTGTTCAGATAGCAGCAGCAGCCCAGTCGCAACTCGTCGTGAAGCTCGCGTAGTTCCCGATAGCGCTTCACCTGGCGAGCCGCAAGTTCGTAAGCCCTAAACCCTGAACCCCTAAGCCTTAATCCTAAACAGCCACGAAACCCACAGGTGGGGCGCCGCCGGGGGACTTGGTGTTTGAGGGCTGGTTTTTGGGTGCAGGGTTTAAGTTAAGGCTTGGAGTGTTTAGGGTTTAAGGTTTAGGGCTTTGGGGCTTTAGGGCTTAATGTGGCTTGGGGAGGGGCTTCCTGGAGGCTTTCCGGGCTTCTCTTGGGTAGAATCGCGCCTAGCAGGTGCAGCTTGTGCGGTCTTGGGGGCTCTTGTCGATACTGTAGTACGTAGCTCTGCACCTTGCTAGCATGTCCGTTTCTGGTTAAATCGCTGTGGTGTGGTGTGCTGTTTCTAGCCTGGTCTTCTGTTTGTGTTGTTGGCACAACCCTATCCCCAAACCCGACAATAGATTGTGCCTGCTGCCAGCGGCTCCCCGCATGCGTGATCTCGATGGTGTAGCAGGTGTGCCCGGCGGACTCCACGTTGGACAGGAACTTCACCTCGAAACGGGGAATGTATGTACTTTAGGTTAGGGTTAAGAGAATTTAGGGCTTATGGCCTAGGGACTGCACCTCGAAGTTACGGTTTATCGCTTCTGATCTCTTTGGGGCCGTTGTGGGACTGTAGAACTGCTAGATTTTGTCGGGCGCATCACCGGGCCTTTCAAGCAAGGGTCCAGCGAGTGGCGCTTCAGGATTTTTGGATGGAAAGAGTCGTCGGGATAAATAAATGTAAAGCCCTGACTGCAAACCCTGCTCCTTTCAATTCAAATATAAGCAGTCGGGCAGGCCATGGAAGCCCCTTAAACTCCTAAACCTAAGCTCCTGAATTACTTGAGACTCTTAAATCAGGGGATTACCTGAAATCAGGGCACTACATTGCCGGCTAGAGTGAGAGCTTAGAGATCAGCGCCGACGTTAAGTGTGCAGCGAAAGGCTTTTTGGGGGGGCCGTCATGGGAAGTCGTGAGTACGAGGGTGTCGTGTCGGCTTTGGGGTTCAGGGTGTAGGGTTTATAGGGTTTGTAGGGTTTGTAGGGTTTAGGGTTTAGGGTTTAGGGTTTAGGGTTTAGGGTTTCCGGTCTTCGTCACTTGAGACTCAATGCCTTCCGGGGTCAAGATTTCTCTAGGTGTATGAATATACACGAAAGTATGGCACAGCTGCTTGCTGGAGCTCTACACCGGGTTCTCAAGCTCAGCCAGCCTTCAACCCTATGCCAGTGTGCAACTTCCTGACAACTAAACCACGTTCCCCTTCCTAGCGTTAAGTTCCCTTTCCTTTTTGAAAAAAACAGTGGATTTATGAATCCTATGGTCTACGTTGAGCCCCTATATGAAACCCGTTCAAAGCGTGCGGAAACATGCCAATTATCAACACTGCAACAACCCGTTTAAAGCCCTCAACCCGTACCAGCCTTTATAAACCCTACAAAATCCGCGTGCCCCTGGCGCCAGGTCGCATGGTATTGAGACGCCTCACTGTGCATAGGCGCTCCGCGCGGTGCAGGCGCCCTCGTCCCACGAGGACCGCCGCCTAAAGGAGACACTTTGCTACAGTGCGGTGTTCAAGCTTTGGGGTTCAAACCTTAGGACTTAGGGGTTTTGTATGGTTTAGGGATGTTTAGGGCTTCAGGGTTTCAGGGACTTGCAACGTTGGTGCTTGCGCATCCAGGCATACATAGTTGTGCATGTCGACATTCACGGGTAGTATCCCACCCATCAAAACGCTGTTTTAGGGTGCTTTACCTTCCCATCTCGCTTGAACCTCGTCTCCTGCCGCTCATGCCCCAAAAACCCCGCAACAATCAGAGGCCCGTGTTCCAAAAAGATCCTAAATCATGATCATAGTATCAAGAAGACCAAGGTAACCAGCAGCCGCAAGAGGGATAGCGATGCTAAGGCTAATTGATTACACGAAACCCGAAACCCTAAACCCTAAATAAAACCCTAAGCCCTAAATCCGAAACCCAAGCCTAAGCCTTAAACCTGAAACCCTGAAGCCGAAACCCTAAACCCGAAACCTTGAACGGGAAACTTGACTCGAGCTTGGCTATCTCCTCTGGCAACCTACAAGCCAAGTCCACTGGGCCTCTAAGCAGCTTCAGGGATGAAGGATTGATGTTTACGATAAAACGGAGTCGGATATAGATCTCAGACACAACGGCTTTGAATTGAAAGTTAGAGGCTGAGGGATGGCGCTTCAGGGTTTAACTATAAAAAAAAGGAACCTCAAAAATTACCGTCACGAGTTTGTGTTGTTGGGGGGGAGGGTACCTTGTTATTGCTAATATAGAAAAACATACCCCAAAACTCTAGTCTAAGTTTTAAGGCCCCTACATGAGATCTCGAGAGAAGGCACGGGTCGATCGCAAAATTACCAAGCCTTAACTGCGTTCTCGTGCATGGTACGATGTGGGCACTGCTAGTTAGAATAGGGTTTAGGCATCAGGGTTTCGGGCTTTTGACAATAAAGCATGTGATCTACTATTTATCCCTTGTATGGTCCTACGCCTGGACCCTAAACCCTAAACCCTAAACCGTTTAAGGCTTGGGGAAGCAAGTCTTTTTCCTGGCTCGGGCGTTTATGACCGGCAAACCCATCCCGAGCCCAGCCCTGCCCAACACCAACCCGCTCAAAATCACCCTATAAAGGGATCTATCAGGAATCTATAGCGGTTTAAGGTTGAGGGGGTTTAGGGATTTAGGGGTTCAGGGTTTAAGATTAGAGCCTCAACCCCCAAAAAACTGCTTCACTTCATTCCCCCTAGCCCCGCCTGTAGTCCCTGACTCACCCAAACAGCCAGAGCCAAATGGGCTGCAGATAAGTATCGGATCAAAGTGGGTAACGTGAAGGCCTCAATGATTAGAATAAGGTTTTGGAACCCGGTGGGACCAGAGGCCCGTACTTTAGGGTTTGGGGGTTTAGTATGCAACATCGAAGTATGCTAAACTCTGAATCCCAAACCCCAACCCCTTAATCCCTAAGCCCCAACTTTACAAAGTCTGGATGCTAAACAGATCCGTCTTCCAAGCGGCTGATGTGGCTGGGACTGTAATGTTGGAAGATCAAGAGTTCAGAGGGTTTCGAGTCCAGGGTTTTTTGGGTTTTGTTTGGTTTAGGGTTTAGG